AAGTCCAAATCTCCACCATTTACCAGTGGGCATGTTTTTAAAGGGGAGTTTCAGAGGTGTGTAGGCAGAGGATAGGGGCTACATGCAGAAGAGCACAGTCAGCTCTGACAATCATCTTGATTTAGTCATGTAGTGGCCTGATCAGCATCATTTTGATTATTTTAGGTGCAGTTGATCTTTAGTTCCAGGGTTGATTTTCTTGAGTCTGGTTCTCAGAATTGTGGCAGTTTACGTCACGGCTGTAATCTGGTAATCATGTAGTTAACTTCTTCCTCCTAGTGGGATTTCGTTATCTACAAAACTGCTCACAGGATATGGCTCAGAATATTATCAGTAGCCTTAAGAGGAATTAAATGTCTTCGACTTTTCTTAATGACTAAACTGCTACTGTTTGGTCTTGTTTGACTATTTTCCTTTGCTTCTGCATTTTATCATTTCTCTCATTATATTGCTTATTTGACTAAAGTTTTCCTACGAACAAGTCAGGCAGAGAGCATGGAGGAAGTTCTGTCCTGGGAAGGCCCCATAGGGTCTTATTCCATTTCAGAGACTGGCTCAGAAAACAGGGGTGTTGGTAGACTGGAAAGATGAAGCAGCCTTTTTCTGTTTCCATTCTCTCAGTGAATATAGAAGTGAGGTCATTAGCAGGGAATTATAATGAAGAAATGCCTTGGGGATTTTCGGAGAGAAAAATTTGGAAGGATCTTCTCAGAGTAAATTGACTAGGAAAATGCACTAGTGGATTTATGGGCAGTGTTGTGCTAAGTGGGACCACTTACCATTGTATTCATAAATTATGTGGCTAGATGTACGGCCATTCAGGATGTTCTGCTTCTTGGGGTCACACTTTGATTAGTAGAAGAGTTAACTTTTACCAAGGTTGAGGTTTGGCCAAGAGAGCATAGTATAGAGAGGAAGAGGAACAAGGGAGCGATTTCATGATGAATCATGGACTGTAAACTAGATTAGGTGGACAAGAGAGAGATGAATGATAGTGAAAAAGTAGTAGGTAGGGTCAGTGGTTTAAAAATCTCCAAATGAAATGGAGCTGGACACTGTAGGGGCCCTCCAAGGGTCATTCCATTTATCCATTTCTTATTTATGGATAATGGGCTTCATTCAGTCTCCTTGACCTTCCCTGTGTTCCAAATGGCTGAATCAATCAGGGCACGGTCCTGGTTCCTAACACCTTTGGATTCTTCTGTAGGAACTAAGGCCCTCACCCCGGTGGAGGATGGTAACTTTAGGCTGACTGCAAGATTCCTGGAATACTGGAACACCACCATGTTACCTCATGTATACTTGCATGCTAAGTCACTTCAGTTGTGCCTGATTCTTTGTGACCCTGTGCACCATAGCCCCCCAGGCACCTCTGTCCATGGGATTCTCCAGGCAAGGAAACTGGAGTAGGTTGCTGTGCCCTCTTCCAGGGGATCTTCCCAACCCAGGGATCAAACCCACATCTCTTATGTCTACCTGCACGGGCAAGAGGGTTCTTTACCACCAGTGCCATCTGGGAAGTCCCCGTGTTACCTCACTACCAACCAATATAGAATGTTTGGAATAGGTTTTTGGACACAAATCTGCCTTCTCCCCAGGGTGCTGGGCTTCTGATTAAAGAACCTTTTTTTCCACCCCCCCAACCAACACTTGTCTCTCAAGTATTGGCTTTCGAGCCAACCTGGGTTCGGTAACACAAACAGTTAAAGTGAGAGTTCAAGAGAAAGATAGGTAGGAGATGATGAGTAAGGAGTGGGATAATTGAAATCAGGATTTGGGAGACTTTTCACATATGTTCTGGTTTAATACCATACCAACTTTATTAGGAAATTTTTATTATCTTCATTTTAGACGTGGACAAAATTGTATTCATAAAGATTAAATAACTTGGTCAAGGTCACAAAGCTAGTCAATGGCAGTTTGGATAGGAAGTAAAAATATTTGCTTTTGTTTTTAAATTCTAAAAGCTTTGTACTATACCAGCTGCTTCTGATTCATGATCGTTGCCTGTTAGACAAAGGATAATCATTATTATGACTGAAAATGTTGACATTGTATTTGTTTTGCTTTTTCCAGGCTTATTAGGGCATGCAAATAAATTTTAAAAAGGGGACCCCAGAATACATTTGAATTTTTAGAACATTTCCTTACTTCCATTAGAAAATAAGTGGGTTTAGAATTTGACTGGAAATGATTTTCACTTCTGTCTTTCAAAATTCACAAAGAAGCATTCACATAGCAGAGTTCAGTAAACTGTTAAATATGGAGTAAATTCTTCCTGATCAGATGAAATAAAATTTTCCATGTGTTAAGGAGAGTCTCCGTTTTCCTGTACTTAAAATGAAGTAGATTCCTACTTAATGATAAACAATGATGATTAAAATAAATAATAGAACTTAAAAAGCTAATTTTGATTCTCTCTACTTTAGGAGGCTTCAAAAATTTGTACTGATGTTCTGAGTTGGTGGTGGTAAGGATTTTTATGTTTCAGTAGAGGAAAAAAAAATGATATTTTAAATAGAAGGTTTTTCAGCCCAATAATTAAATAACAGTACTTACCCGACTTCCACAATACTGCAAACAAACAGAACCAAATTGTGTGGGCTGCTTTTGGTTTAAATTACATGGCGCCCTTTCCAGCAAAACTTTAGGTATAGAGGCTTGATTGAAATAGCTGCATAATTTCTGAGCAGAGGCTTTTCTTCGCTGTAATTACATTCCTGTGGTGACTCATTCTCTCTTAATTTCTTGATTTTATAATTCAAAGAAGGATATTCCCTTGAAATTTGAAAACCTGGAAGACGCAAAAGCTATTTTTTTAGAAATTTATTATTATTATTATTATTCCTCCTCCTCCTACTACAGTTCCTCCCCCTCTGAGTATCATTTCACATAGTTGCTTTTGATCTTACTCATGCTGGCTCCCATAATGGGGGTTTACTCACAAGGCAGTGAAGGAGAAAGGATCCAGCATTAGGGATGGGCTGTTCTGGATTCGGTGGCTTATGCAGTGGAGATTTGGGGCTTTTACTCCGACTTTGTAAGCAAATAAGGTGAGGGGGAGATGTCCCTGGAGAAAAAGAACTAGATACAGCTTTTTGACATAGAAGCCATTTGTGATATAAGCCTGGCCAAGTGCTTGACCTTGAGCAGATGTCAGTAATAATGATCTTAAGGAAACAAAAACTGTTTTCAGGCAAGAGAAATAACGACAGCAAAGATAATAAATCAGTTGTAAAGACTCCCAGTTCTGTTTCAGTGGTAAAGATTGGCTTTAAGCCAATCTTGAGCTGTTTTGCAGACTTGACACTGACGTAGGGGTAGTGCTCAATCATTCCATCAAGTGGAACCTAAGGAAAGAGGATGTTGATTTTTTGCTGACCCTCATGACTTCAGTCAACTAAAGTGTGAACTCTGTTGACTGTTCCCCCAATTCTTTGCTGAATTTTCTCGTCTTTTCATGAATATGCATATACCCTTAACTTTAAACTTCCCAGTTTTGCTCTTGGGGAAGACAGTGCTTTGGGCAAGGTGTTTTCCTTACTTGTTGCAAGTAATAAATTCTTTATTCTCCAGCTCTTTGGCTTGGTTGTATCTTTTGGCTTGAGAGCCACCAAGAGAGAGACTAGGTTTGAGGTGACAGGATTCACCCGCTGGCACAGCTCAGCTTCTCTCAAGAGACTGCTTATTTTTGATTTTCTATTTCTCTTTCCATCATCTGGTAATTTTTTTCTTCTTCTGAATTTACTAGTTCAGATTCCCAAGAGAGGGAACCTGGCTGGCTCTGCTAATAAATGCTGCCACTCTCACTGATAGAGAAGTTGTTGGAGACTGATTGTAAGGTTGGGGGCAGTGTTTTGAAAGCATCTGGCTGGTACCTCTCCTGTTGGGGGTATGGTCTTGGATAAAGATTAGGATGTGAATGTACTTTAAAAATGTAAGGACTTTAAAACATTTCATGAGTGTTGTGTCTTGAGGCACCTTTTAAAGGGGAAATTTTTTTCATATATAGAATTAAAGATAAGTATATTTAAGGTGATGCAAATATTTAAAATTATTAATATATAAGAAACTGGTGGTGGTTTAGGAGAGATTTCAAAAAAGATTATTTTAGAAAGCTGAAGTATATTCTTTTTCATTTCTTCTAAACTTCCTTGACTCTGTTTAATTTTTTTTGTGGGGGAAACATTTTGTTAGATAAAATGTCACACATAACATATGAGAAATGGTATGGTATAGTGGCAAATCAAAACTCTTTGATATAAAGCGAAAGCAAAGATGTGGGGAATGAGAAGAGCTGATCATTTCAAAGTTAGGGGCAAAGCAGTTAGCTGTTGGGGAAGGCTGTGGCTGAACAGGAGGTGGGGAGTGGGTGGGGGTGAAAGAATTCCACCTTAGCATGTTAAATTTGATATGCCTATTAGATATTCAAGGAGAGACATCAGTAGACAATTAAATCTTCAGTTTGAGGGAAAAAAAAGTCTGAATTGGAAATAAAAAATTAGATATTGACAGTGTCTTAATACTTAAAACTATGAGACAGGAAAAGACCACCAAGGAATATGGAGAGACTGTCTCCTGAGAGTACCTGACTGTTCAAACATTGGAGAAGAGAAACAGCAAAGGAAACTTAAGAAGGATGTAAAGAATAATAAAAATTTAAATTAAAATCTTTGTATACAAAAAAGCTAAAGTAAAAAGGGAAGAATAAGATGTCTTAAGAATAATGGTAGTTTCCTAAACTTGCTGAACTATATTGGTGGAATTAACTTTGCTAAACAAGGGGGTGACAGGTGGGTTAGTCAGTTCGGCTTCATATCCTTTTACAAGTACTAGGCTGTGTGTGTGTGTGTGTATGAAAGAGAGAGAGACCTATAAAGTTTTATTTTTGCCTTAAAATCTATATTAAATAAATCACTCATGCTGGAATGTGGTGATTTTCAAATGACTTACATATTCAAGGTCCTCTTTCATCATCATTTCTTTTTCTTTTTTTGCAGTGATTTGCTGTCCTCTGAATATGTGGAGAGACACATTGAACATGGAGGGAAAACTGTGGAAGTAAAAGTAAGTAAAATTTTTCTCTTGGGGAAAACTCTGAGAATCTTTTAAGTGCTGCTGATGATTTTAATTTTCCTTGATACTTCCAATATACAATTTGGGGGTTTTTATATTTCAGAATTTATCATTAAAATGTGTCACTGGCTTAGGGGAAAACTTAGTTATCAGTAAAAGAAGTCTTGGTATACTACAGGAATTTCTGGAGTTATGCTTTGTGGGATTAATATTACTGCAAGTAGTTTTCTTTTAGATTATATCACAGAAAATAATTTCTGAAATTGGCTTTTAAGGTTAGCACTGAGAATGAAGAGGTGAAATCTTGAGTCTAGGGTAGGTGCCTGGCTTTATATTCATTTGGAAAAATTCATCTGGAAAAATTATGAACTTACTATGTCAACAGGGATGTCCCAGAGAGTTTTAAATCCCTGGAGACAGAAATCTCAGGATACTGTTTCTTGTTGGGTAAACTCTGAAAAGGATTTCTTACAAATTTTTTTTTTCCGATTTATAAGTGGTAGACCCAAGTTTGATCCTTGGGTCAGGAAGATCCCCTGGAGAAGCAATAGCTACCAACTCCAGTATTCTTGCCTGGAGAATTCCATGGACAGAGAAGCCTGATGGATTACATGTGCAAGGGGTTGCAAAGAGTCAGACACAACTGAGCAACTAGCACTTTCACTTTCCCAGGCATGAGGATGTGTCTTTCTTGTCTACTGATGATGTTGTCTGAGGTATATGAGACCAGACATCAACCAGGTGTTTCTTTAGGACCAATTTTAATATAAAGAGTTTTAGCTAAGTGTTTTGTTCTTCTGAACAGAAGTTTAAGAAATAGAGTTTGTCCTGCTCTTCCATGTGCTGCTTTCCAAACCCAGTGCCTTCCCTCCTCTTATAAAACATGTAAACACTATCCTGACTTTTGTGGTTATTCTTTCCTTACTTTTGCTTGTAGTTTTATTACCCAAGTGTGTCCTAGAGTTTAGTTTTGCTGAATTTTTTTTAAAAATCAGTTTTTAAAAACTCTCTTTCATTCCATTGGTTTCCCCTTATCCTTCTTTTTATTCTTCCTTGCAGTTTATTTGTTGAAAAAGCCAGGTTATTTATCCTGTATAGTCTCTCACAGTCTGGGTTTTGCTCTTGATTGTAATTTTATATTTACAGTAAAATGAAATACATTTTAGTGACCTTTCCTTAAGATAATGATTTGTATTATATGCAAGGCATTCTATGTCTCATTGAAGGAAGTTTTATTCTGATCAGAGAGGTGCATAATCCTAATCTTGAAGTTCTATTAAACCTTTTTTCCCATCAAAGTTTACAAAGAAAGGTTTTAGGCTGAAAAACATGATAAATACTTTTTATGTGTTTTTTTAAATAAAATATATGAATATCATCTTTCACTTACATTTATTTCCAATTCATTTAAAAATTAAATTTGAAGTTTGTCCGTTAGTTTAGGGAGAACTTCTGTGTGTTTAACATAAACTTTAAGAATATAAGTGTGAAACCTCAATTAATTAGAATATCCTGGGAACAAAATCTTTTTGTTTTGATTGTGTTGAACTATGGCTCTGGATTTTTAAGACAAAAGAAACTGGAGTTGATGAGGAGCAGTGAATAAGTCCAAACCATGCAGTTTGCTGTTTTATTGCTAGCTAGCTTTTTCTGTCTTGAAGCTGAAAGGTGCCAGGATTTTGATTAGTCGAAGTGTCCCATTACATAGGCTCTGGTCATCAGTATTATAATCCTAATAATAGTAATCACTAACATTTATTGCTCATGATGTGACAGTCATATGAATTTATATATATTCAATTCTCCAAACAACCTGTGATTATAAAATAACTATTATTCCACTTGACAGGGAACTGAGGTACAGAGAGGTTACATAACAGGCTGAAAGTAATAGAGGCAGGAGGGGTAGAGCTGCAGTTTGAATCTAGGTTATCTATCTCTGGAGCTGACTCTTACACCATGCTACCTACCATATAGTCTACGTCTATGGAAAAGATTGAAGGCAGAGGAGAAGGAAGTGGCAGAGGACAAGATGGTTAGATAGCATCATTGACTCAAGGCACATGAATTTGAGTGAACTCCAGGAGATAGTGAAGGATGGCATGTTGCAGTCCATGGGGTCATGAAGAGATGGACCCGACTTAGTGACTGAACAACAACAGCAAATGTAAAATAGGATAGCCATACAAAGTGAAATGTATCTTATTTAGACTTATTATATATATATCTCATTTTCTAGAGGTTCCTAACAGTTGTACCTTTATGGTTTTATCTTTAAACTGAAAAGGTGGTCTGTGTAATGGACCTTTAGGTATCCCTCTCAAATTTGGTTATGCGTTTGCGTAGCTTTTCGGTAGCATCAGTTGCCTTGGGCAAAATTGATAAAGACATGCTCTAGTACAAAGCCTGTTTTATTTTCCATATCTCAGGAAAATTGCCATAGTAGGAGTTTTAGAACTCTGGGACAGGAATGGTAAATCTTCTGTATTTATGGATGGGGAAGAAAGTAGATTTCCTTGGAGTCAAAAAGTAAAAATAGACATCTTGGAAGAAATATGATTTATTATTGTATCATTACCAATGAATGATCATGACCAGTCACCAGTGTTATTAGTTCTGGTAGTATTTGGTTAAATTATTTGATCTCTGGTGATAATGATCATAAAGTAATAACTGCTGGGTGTCTTTTTTATTAGTTCAAATTATTTTCTAGATTGAATGTGACCACTCCTAACCTGTCCTTGAATCAGAATCCTAATCGTTAAGGATGGATATGTAGAGACACCCGTTTTCCAGTATTGACTTTTGACTGGCACTTAACTGGTTACTGCCCATTACTTAATTGAATTGAGTGCACTCAGAGGTCATTGTCTCAAAGTCCTAATTGGTTCCGTCAGTGGCAGTAAGAAGATGGATAAGAAGGCATTGGAGAATGGGTCAAGGTTGAAGTCTGGAGATTGGAGAGTGCTGTGTGTTGAAGAGGAGGCGTCAGAGGAGAACATGTTTGCTTAAGGAGTGGGAGAGGTTATTGTGACTAACTGGTTCCAGTATTCTTGCCTGGAAAAAGCCCCTGGACAGAGGAGCCTGGCAGGCTATAGTCATTGGGGTTGCAAAGTCAGACATGACTGAGTGACTGAGCAGAGAGAGGAAACCTTTTACTTGGATGGAATGGTGGTGGAATTTTCCTTAAAAAGTATTGTTTAGGCAAACTGAAATGGCCATGGTCATTTCTGGGAACTGAGTATCAGGGAAGTTGATACAGAAGCAAGGAGAAAGCCTGAGCGTTTTCTTACAAGATAGCTTTTCTCCTACTGGTCACATCCATCTCCCCTCCCCGAGGTTTGGCGGTTCATGAACATTTCTAGCTCAGCACAGTACTGTCACCCAGCAGGAGGCTGTGCTCCAAGGAGACTCCCTCTGCATTCAATTCAATTTTTAAAGTCAGATTTCCAGCTCAATTCTATTTTCTTTAAAAAAAAAAAAAGATATACCTTAAAAATCCTGTCTTAATCATTTTGTCTTCCAAAATGAATGTGTCAATGACAGGCGAAAAAAATACTAGTGGAGGACAGCTATAAGAAATCACTTAGAAAACTTTACATGTGATAACCGTCAGGACTATGGATACCTTCCTGGCTTATGCTAACTTTCTAGTGTCTATAAACCTGAAAATCATCCATATAAAATTGCTTGTGATCTTGAATTGTATTCAGGTTTTCTCATATTATTTTCTAGATTTCCCCATGAGGAAAATAATTCTCAATACTTGAGTACTTCAAATGTGCACAATGTGTTAAAGAAATAATGTTTCTTAAGGTATCTTTTAAGAATTTTTTTTTTTTAGCAAAAAAAATACCAACCCACAAGTGATTATATGGTGCTATAAAACATTGTAGACTCCTTTATTAGGAAAAAATCTTCTCAATTATTAGTTTTTTGTCTTCCAAAATGAATGTGTCAATGACAGGCGAAAAAAATACTAGTGGAGGACAGCTATAAGAAATCACTTAGAAAACTTTACATGTGATAACTGTCAGGACTATGGATACCTTCCTGGCTTATGCTAACTTTCTAGTGTCTATAAACCTGAAAATCATCCATATAAAATTGCTTATGATCTTGAATTGTATTCAGGTTTTCTCATATTATTTTCTAGATTTCCCCATGAGGAAAATAATTCTCAATACTTGAGTATTTCAAATGTGCACAATGTGTTAAAGAAATAATGTTTCTTAAGGTATCTTTTAATAATTTTTTTTTTTTAGCCAAAAAAAAAAAAAATACCAACCCACAAGTGATTATATGGTGCTATAAAACATTGTAGACTCCTTTATTAGGAAAAAATCTTCTCAATTATTAGTGACAGAATTTAATTTATTTAAAATGTACATTATAGTTTAGTGACTTCATTCTGCTTCTCCTTTTTTAAAAAAATAACACCTTTACTTAACATATCCTTTTTTTTTTAACATATCCTTTTATGAGGCGTAGATTTTTTTCCAAACTCGTTGCATATAATTGAATGGTACACAAACGCTTGAACTGTTTCTTTTTTTAGTCACGGGGAGCACAAAAATAGCTAGTCAGCTGCCAAAGTGTCATTACATATATTTATTGCAGCAGAAAAGATGAACAAAGGGGTTAATCTGTTTTTACTTATCCTGCATATCCAGTTTCCTTATTGATTCTCAGAACTGCATTACCATCCAGATTCTCAGTTCTTTCTATAGAAGCAAGAAGAGTAAACGATTAAATAGAAAAGAAAAACCAGACCTTGGTATACAGTAAATTTTGCTGCATGCGTTAGTACAGAGCCTCCAATACTGCTGCATCAGTGATGAATCTTTTTTTCAAATAGCTTTTAGAATATCTTTGTTTTTGAGGCTGTCTTTGAGATGAAATGCAAGCAATAGCCACAGAATCTATACAAAGTAGCCAAGTAATCTATACCAAGGCTATTTAAAATCTCTGTCTCTCTCTTTTTAAGGAGA